CTGGGAATTGGAGCCAGAATCACAAGGGAGAGGCTGTCTGCTCTGAAGCCTCTGTCATACAGAACATGAAATCCTGGTTCAGTTCATGGTGCTGCTTCCCAGAGTTCAGTCCTCCTTCTCTGTGTACTTCCTGCCCACGTCCTCATGGGCCTTCACCTCGACTGGAAGTGCTGGGTTGGCCGGAAGCCCTGGAGGCATGACATTCTGGCAGCTTCTCCTATGGATTCTGGGGGTCAGGAAGGGACCCAAGTTTCCCTGGGCCACTTGGCCTCTTTAGGAAATAGAGAAAATCATCTCCTCCCTGCTTACCCCGCTCCAAGGTGACATGAGGTCAGATGATAGAGGGTTCATGGGGTTATTGTTATGGATTGAATTATGTCCCCGAAAACTCTGTATTGAAATCCTAACCCCTGCATCTGTAAATATGACCCTGCTTGGAAATAGGGGTTCTTTTCACCATGTTAATGAAGTCACAGCAGAGTAGAGTGAGTCCTAAGTTATAAAAAGCCACAGAGACAGACACAAAAAAGGGGAAGACAGGCCAGCAGATGCTGAGCAACTAGGAGACACCAGCAACTAGGAGACAGGCTCACAAAGCGTTCAACACAGCTGAGATGCCGACTTGGACTCGGAGCCTCCAGAACAGGGAGAATATACATTTCTGTTCTTTAAAGTCACCCATCTTGCAGCATTTCTGTTACAGCAGCACTAGGTAACTAAGACAGCCTTGTTGACACAGACTTTGATAACATGCTGTATCAATGTGAAGGCTGTTGAGATCATGCCTGTGGTTGCAATGGATGAGAAAACACACTAAAACCAAAGACATATTGTGAATACAAGAAATTTATTTTTTGAAAAGCAAGGGAGTATATTCATGGTTCCTTCTGTTTATCCATCTTCTTCCTCCTCCTTCCCTCTTTCCCTTGTTTCCAGATCAGGACCAGAGAAAACAAGAAACAGCCCCTGTGCTTCCCAGTAAATAGCAGCATGTCGTCAGCCCCTGTGTGAGAGGGTGGAGGCTCCCTCTAGGCAGGGGGAACCCAGGCAGAAGCGAGGGCTGCAGAGCTCCAAGGCTCTGGGTCCCCCCCAGCCCAACACCCAGAGGGCCCAGAGGGCCCAGAGGGCCCAGAGGGCAGGGGAGCAGCCCTGAGTAGCTTCCGTGGACACAGCCTTGGAGGGTGCTCACGTTCCTGCCCTCGAGGAGCTCTGGGAGGTAGGGAGACAGGACCCTAGAATCACAGCTACTATTACGGACCAGCCACCAGGGCCAGCCTGAGCCTCACACTGGAAGGGAATGGATCTGAGAGAGTGTTGCCAGACGCAGGGACTGTCCAGGAAGGCTGCCCCGCAGAAGAGATGATGGAGCCGATGGGAAAGATGAGCAGAGATTTCCATCCACTCATTCATTTATTCATTGATTTCTTCAACAAACATCTGTATTAAATTCCAGACACTGCTGAGGCACTGAGGGTGCAGAGATGACATAGTCACTACCTTCCAGACACTCACCACCCAGCAGAGAAAAAGACATGCTTATAAACAACCACAGATCCTTTAAATAAGGGCTGCATCCAAATCTGTGCAAGTCAATCTGTGAGCAGAGGGGAGGGGACTGGTGACGTGGATCTGGATCCTGTGTGAGGGGTGGGGGCTGCAGGCAGACACCAGGCAGAGGAACAAGTACAGAGAGAAAGAGAAGTAAAACAGGGAACAGCCCCTCATCTCACCTGGCTGAGGAGGTGGGTGACTAGGGGAGAGGGGGATGTGAGAGGACATCTGGGCCAGACTCACAGGGCTGTGAATGCTCAGCTGTGTGGTGTGGGGGCCAGTGGAGAAAGTGAGCAGGAGGGACGTGATCGTATGAACTGCAGAAAAGAGGACAGGATGGGGCTGGTGGGAAAAGGGCACACAGCAGGGTGGGGACACAGGACAGGGAGGCCCAATCGTCGAGGGAGAGCAGTGTCAGGAGGAGCAGGGCCTCCCTCAGTGCTTGAAATGAGGCCAGGTCTTAATGATGCTGTACAGAGCCTTCCCAGGAGACAAGGTGTTCTCCACGTCACTCTGTCCCACCAGCAGGTAGTTGGGAGTCAAATATCCCTTGTCCACAGCACACTGGATCAGGCTCTGGGCAGCCTCCAGAGCTGCGGCGTTTGGCGGAGTACCTGCAAAACACAGCTGGGCTGTTGGTCACAGGACTGTTGATCCCAGGGCTCTCTGCCCAGGGCACAACAGACTCCTTGACAACCCCCGCCCACCACCACCACCACCATCACCATTACCAAGCTAGCATATTTCAGCATTGGCAACCACCCCATATACAGGCATAAAACCAGGTCAAGACTTCAGATTCCTTGGTGCCAAACTTCTTACCAAAAATATATAAATAAAAAAATAAGTGAAATCAGCATTTCGTGGCACCCTAGGAGAAACCCAAATCAAAAGGGTGGCGCCTGAGACACAATTACTCTGGGGATGTTCAAGCCTTTATCCAAACTGCTAAAGTTTAGCTTAGTTTAGCCCTCAGTTCTCAACTGGGGGCAATTTAGGTCCCCAGGGGACATTTGACAATGTCTGGAGATGTTTTTGGTAGTCAAAATTGCAGGGGTGTGGGTCGCTGTTGGTATCTGGTGGGTAAAAACAGGGATACTGCTAAAGACCCTACAATGCACAGGACAGCCCCCACAACAAAGAATTACCTGGTCCAAAATGTCAACAGTGCCAACCAAGGTTAAAAATCCTGGGTTAGCCAAAAGTGTTTTTTGCACCCTTCATCTGCCCAGTCCCAATGCCCCAGCCGCGTCTCCATGCATATTCCTAGGTCACACACCCACACACCCCAGCCCAATGTCTTTTTTTAGTATCAGCCTGAACCAGTCCCAGGGACATGACCTCCTCTTCTCAGAGGTTCAGTGAAAGGCCCCTGTGTCTGAACAAACTCTGGACAAGAACCCTGAGCAATGACAATTCACAGTGTGCGAAGGGAGGGGCTCATTCGTGGCTTTGGCATATGGTAACCAAGATAAACAGGGAAGCATTTGCTGACCTAGCTAAAAATATGCGCAAAGATCATGTCTGCTTGCTCCGTGTGTACCTTGGGTATGAGAAAAAAGAGACATTTGGCAGATGCGAAGGAGGTGGATTTAAGGTGTGCATTCTTCTGAGGGTCATCTCTGGTCACACTCAGTTAAATGTCAAGTTTGAAGCTGGGTAAACCCAGCATAGGCAGGCACTAGAATGACCACTGTGTCTGATGCCCTTGTCTTTCATGTCTCTCAGACACTCTCCCTCAAACACCATACAACGACTCCTACTGCCCAAAGTATCTACTGACCTGTGAAGGTGCCCATGAAGGCAATGCCCAGAGCAATGTCATTGTAGCCAGCAGTGTGGGAGCCTTGGACATTCCACCCCGTCCCTTCATAGATGGCTCCATCCTCACCCACGAGGAAGCTAGAGGGGCATGAATAATGGAGATTGGCATGCAAGAGAGGCACTCTGTGAATCAGAAATTGTTTCATTCATTCATCCATTCATTCACTCATGCCTTTACTCATCAGACATTGATTATCCATTGGTTGCTAAGCTCTGCATTCAAAAGACAGAGTCCTTGCCAGTGGTGTACTGGTAAACCAGCTCACAGGGGAGGGAGGCCCCTGATTAAGAGTGTTTGCTGATTACTGTGGTGTAAATACTCCCGCCGTGGCTGATTTCAGGCTACCAACGATTTAACACCTGACTCGCAAAATTTCTGAATCTCTAACAATCACTTCATGAGCCGTGTGTGCTAACCCAGACCCAGCACACCACTGCTGCCTGCAAGTAGCTCACTGTCTATGAAGAAAGAGAGTCACAACTTTCAATCCCAGCAGCCTGGCCTTTCTCCCACCATGCCAACTAAACTGTTTTCCACAAGGTGACCAGTGACTTACCTACCACTAAATACAATGTACACTTTCCCAAACTTACCTTATTGACCTCTCTTTGCATTTGACCCTGTCAGCACCTCTCACCTTCTGCAAACACTCTCACCCCCTGGCTTCCATCACATCACACTCTCCTGGCTGTCTTCTTCTCTGGCTGCTCCCCACCACTCTTCTGCACCTCATCTTCCTGATCCCTTTCCTTAAGCGTGGGTTTCCTCAGCATGCTTCCCTAAGCCCTCTTCTCTTCTCACCCAAAACATTTTCCCTGGACTAACCCATCCACTTCCTCAGCTTCAGTTGCCATCTATGAAAGAGCGTGTGTCCACACTGGAACCACCTTCTTCCCCACCTGTTCCCCTCTTTCTGGGCTCTCCATCTTGGTAAAAGGCACCACCTCCCAACAACCCACTGACCCAGCCAGGAATGCGGACATCAGCTCATCTGCTTCATCCACTCAGTAAAAAGGTTCGCCAGCTGTAGTTCCCAAATGCCCTCCCTTATCTACTCCTGCATCCTAGTCATTAACCATAAACCTCCATGGGCTTCTTAAATTACTCCACCTCTCTCCACCACAGCTGCCACCCCTTAGCCAATGTAGCCAAATATAAAGTGCCTCTCATATGATGAGCACTCAGTAAATATTCATTCTCTTTCCGCTTCCATTCAACACTCAGTTTCTGCACCCAAGGGGAAAGAAGCCCATGCATCCTCAGGTCCACTTACTTATACCCAGTGTCGCATGAGTCGAGTCTGTCCATGAAGAAGGACTGGGTATCTCTGACCACCCGGCGGCACTCGTCAGACACATTGCAGGTCTTCCCAGAGGTGTGGATGATGATAACATACTTAGCTGGGAGGTTCATTTCGGGGCAGTGGGACTCCCTGGCCTCCCAGTCAGACCGTATAACAGCCCTGGGGCAAGCTGTGGTGGTGCAAAAAACATGGGAGGGGGACTCATTTTGCCCACTCACCTGTCAACCACCTCACTACTGAAGGCCAACATATTCCTCAGTCTCCCCCCAACATCCCCACCACCCTCTGGGCATCCTGGCCTGACCCTGACTGTGGGACTCAGGAATGCCCAGCAGCTCTCAGAATGGCCCACCTAGGTCCCTGAGTGGTGCAAATAGTTTGTGCTCAACTATTAACCTAAAGGTTGGTGGCTCAAACCCACCCAGAGACACCACAGGAGAAAGGCCTGGTGATCTGCTTCTGTAAAGATTACAGCAAAGAAAACCCTGTGCGGTAGTTTTACTCTGTAACACATGAGGTCTTGGTGAGTTGAAATTGACTTGACAGCAATGGGTTTTGTTTTTTTGGTTGGACTGGGGTATGTTTGCACCAAGCAATTGGAGTCAAGAGACAGGAACCAGAGAGCTATAGATTTTGATACAACCAATGGAACCCAAAGGACAGTGGAAGCGTTGGCCCTGACAGAACATGGATATTTTATTCCAAGGACACAGTGCACTTATTTATCTGCAGGACTGTTGTGTGTGTGTGTGTGTGTGTGTGTGTGTGTGTGTGTTTATGTGTTCATCTGTACACATATGTGACAGGGTCCTTATGGAGAAATCAGATTAATGTTCATCTGACAGTGTGTCTTTGAGAGTCACTTATAATCCATACAACTCTCTGTTAATGTAAGGGGTCATTCATATTGACAGATGGCATTGGGTCCAAAGACCGAGATCAAATTTATTTATGCGGTGCTTTAACATAATAGAGCTAATTAAAACCAAAAAAAAAACTTCATTAAGTTCAACAAAAGGCTGGAAACACTTATTAACTTTACTGTTTTTGACGTTGCTATTTGTTAAGACCAAAATTGTGTCTACCTTTTATTACCTGAATCATGGTAAATTCTTCCTGTCAAGTCAATATAAGTGGTGACTTAAGTTTGCCTTCAGTATATTAGTGTTGTTCTAGCTTTTGTAATCAGAAAGATGTGTGTTTGTATATACACATGTAAATACATAAATATGTGTATAAATGTATCCTATCTCTCTCTATGCTTTTTTTTTCCTCCTTAGCCCTTTTCACTGTACAACATACCAAACATTTTCCTTCTGTACGTGTTTACTGACTTTCTCTGCCTCCTAGATTGAAACTTCATGAGGGAAGGGATTTTTGTGTGTTTTGTGTCTATCCTCAGCGTGTATAACCTCAGAGTGTACATCCTCAGAGTGCATATCCTCAATGTGTATATCCACAGAGTGTATATCCTCAGACTGTAAATCCTCAGAGTTTATACCCTCAGTGTGTAAATCCTCAGAGTGTATACCCTCAGTGTGTATATCCTCAGAGTGTATATCCTCATTGTGCATATCCGCAGAGTGTATATCCTCACAGTGTATATCCTCAGGGTGTATATCCTCAGAGTGTACATCCTCAGAGTGTATATCCTCAGTGTGTATATCCTCACAGTGTAAACCATCAGTGTGTATATCCTCAGAGTGTATATCCTCAGAGTTTACATCCTCAGGGTGTACATTCTAAGTATGTATACCCTCAGAGTGTACATCCTCAGAGTGTATATCTTCAGAGTGTAAATCCTCAGAGTGTATATCCTCAGAGTGTATAACCTCAGAGTGTATATCCGCAATGTGCATATCCTCAGAGTGTACATTCTCAGTCTGTACATCCTCAGAGTGTATATCCTCAGAGTGTACATCTTCAGTTTGTATATCCTCAGTGTGTATATCCTCAGAGTGTATATCCTCAGAGGGTATATCCTCAGAGTGTACATTCTCAGTGTGTACATCCTCAGAGTGTATATTCTCAATGTGTAAATCCTCGGTGTGTATATCCTCAGAGTATATCCTCCAGCTGTATATTCTTAGTGTGTGTATATCCTCAGAGTGTACATCCTCAGAGTGTATCTCCTAAGAGTGTATATCCTCAGTGTGTATATCCTCAGAGTATATATCCTCAAAGTGTACTTTCACAGTATGTATACCCTCAGAGTGTATATTCTCAGTGTGTATATCCTCAGGGTGTATATCCTCAGGGTGTATATCGTCAGAGTGTATATCCTCAGTGTGTATATCCTCAGAGTGTATATCCTCAGAGTGTAGATCCTCAGTGTGTGTATCCTAAGAGTGTATATCCTCAGTGTGTATATCCTCAGAGTGTATATCCTCAGAGTGTACTTTCTCAGTATGTATACCCTCAGAGTGTATATTCTCAGTGTGTATATCCTCAGGGAGTATATCCTCAGGGTGTATATCCTCAGAGTGTAAATCCTCAGAGTGTATATCCTCAGAGTGTAAATCCTCAGCGTGTATATCCTCAATGTGTATAACCTCAGAGTGTATATCCTCAAGGTGTCTATCCTTAGGGTGTATATCCTCAGAGTGTATAACCTCAGAGTGTATATCCTCAGGGTGTCTATCCTCTGGGTGTATATCCTCAGAGTGTAAATCCTCAGTGTGTAACCTCAGAGTTTATATCCTCAGGGTGTATATCCTCAGAGTGTAAATCCTCAGTGTGTATATCCTCAGAGTGTATATCCTCAGAGTGTATATCTTCAGTGTGTATATCCTCAGAGTGTAAATCCTCAGAGTGTATATCCTCAGAGTGTATACCTTCAGAATGTATATCCTCAGTGTGTATATCCTCAGAGTGTATATCCTCTGAGCGTACATTCTCACTGTGTATATCCTCAGTGTCTAGTAGATACTCAGTAAATAATTGTTGAATGGTTGAAGAAACGAGTGCTTATATATTACACCAGGGATAATGCCATGGCTGTAGCATTCTAGGAATCTGAGGGATAAAGAGGAGTCCTGGAGGGTCCCTCTGAAGAGAGTTGGGTGGCAAGTTCCCTGTCAGAAGGATTCCAGCAGAGGATATACACTCTGAGGATGTACACACTGACTGGAGAGGTCACTTCCATTGGAGTTTAGAGTTAGTAGAGGATGAGGCTGGAGGGAAGGCAAGGTGAGGTTGAAAGTTTTACCTTTCTTTGGACCTGCCTTCTGTGGAGACACCAGGCAGTTCTCTTCTTTCGCAAGAAGTGGCTGAAAGTACCTGGATGACAGGTGGCCCTTCCGGACAGCATAAGAGATTAGGCCTTCCATGGCTGACAGTGCAGACAGGTTGGGACTGTGGCCTGGAAAAGAGTGATCTGCAAGGAACCTAGGTCATGCCTGAGTTTCAGAGGGTCTGTGAGGGGAGAGTGAGGTACCCTGCCAGTCCCTGCATAGCTGCTGGAGGGGAAGAAAGGGAAGCAGGTTTTCCCAGGTCAAAGAGACTAAAGTGTAGGATCCACCTGGGCAGAGATCTTAGTGGTCCAGGATAAAGACCTTTCCCAAGGACCTATCAAGGCTTCGTTCATTCACTCCCTGTCTCCGTGAATGAGCTGAGAGGCAGCATGATGCTCAGGAGCAACCGCCGGGCCAGGTCAGGGTTTCCCATCTGTAGGGGCTCCTGGCTCATACCAGGCTCTTTACCTGAATTAACTCATCTAATTCTCACCACAAACCTCTGAAGTAGATGCTATTATTTACTCCCATATTCATGAAAAGGGTCTGGAAGCCCCAAGAAGTTATTTGCTCAAGATCCCGCAGCTAAAAAGGGGACACCCAGTTTACAATGAATGGTAATGAAAACAAGAGCAGGCTGAACACCATTACCAACAGCCCTCTGGTCTTCTGGAAACAGATGGAGTTGGCCATCACAGATATGGGCTCGTGTTCTGATTCCTCTCGTTATAGCTGTGTCACGTTGGGTCATTACCTTTCTGAGATTCAGGCTGCAACTTTGTGTAATAGGGATCATGATACCTATCTTGACTATCTGAAAGGGTACTAGGAGAGGAAAATGAGAAACTATATGGACAAGAGCTTTGTTTACGGTAAAGGGTGCACACATTCAATGTCATGATCCTAGAGCATGTATGTTAACATGGAAATGGATTAGGGTTAGGGTTAGCTATAGACAGAAGAAAGTGGCCTCAACATGTTAAAAAAATGTATAGAAAATCTAGGAGTAAGAGAGATGGAAGAAGGATGTGTCTGACAGGAAGTTGGAAATAATGGCCTGGCTTTATAGAAATGCAGGGGCTGGAGAGGAGGATGTGCTAGTCATTGACATACAGGTGGAAGCTGAAGCTCTGAGCCTTCCTAGGTGAGAACAAGAAAAGAACAGGGACGCAGACAGAAGGTTGGACAATATCTTCACTTATGAGACAGCCAGAGGTAGAGGAGCTTGCAATGAAGACTGAGAAGAAAGCAGAGCAGCAAGAAGAGGTCGATGAGAATGCCATGTCATGGAAGACTAGGGAGAAGAGAATTCCAGGAGAGAGTGGATCATCAGAGAAAGGTGAGAAACAGCAGAGTGTGGAGACAAGGGAGTGGGCGAAGAGTGTAGACAACTCTTTGAAGAAGGGTCAGCCAGGATGACAATTACCTTCCTTGGTGCCAAAGAAGGCAAAGCCCAGGGAATTATTTCTGTAGCCTTGGGTGTGCCAGCCTTGGACTTTCCAGCCTATACCTTCGTACACCCTGCCATCGTCCCCAACCAGGAAGCTGTGGAGCAAGGAAATACAGGTTTAATGTCTGGCTCCATTGTGAGAGGAAACCACTTCCCCATCTTCCAAAGGGAGAAGGACTCAAACCATGTTCCCAAAGAGGAATTTGCATGAACTCTTTCCAAACAACTGATAGACCAAGTCATTGATACTAGTGCTTAGAACTAAGAAAAACCCACTCCTGTTCTCCCTCCCTCCCTCCCTTGTTCAGACACTCAAATTTTATATAACTTATTCTGCATGTTTGAAAGAAGAGGTCCTGGAGCCTCTAACACAGACCCAACCACAGAATGTAAGAATCTTCTCAGCCTCCATGCTTTTTTAAACGTGGCTCTCCTCCCTCCTCTAAAATGCATGCTACCTGTGTTATGTACACACATGCTGTTTATTTGATTTCTCACCACCCGGGAGACTGTCGCAGACGGACTTCTGATGAAGGAGCACCTGAGACAAGGATTTGGATGCAGGAAGTTTATTTGGGGGGGAGGGAGGAGACCCCAGAAGCTAGAGTGAGGGAGCAAGGAGAGTGAGACAGAAGGAAGAACCCCAACAAAGCCTGCCGAACTGGGCTGATTCCAGGAGGAGTCGCCTGCAAAAGAACATTCCACTCTGCATCAATCCTCAGAGAACCCCAATACCAGCCATCAAGGAGGTGCAAGCTCCATTCTACTGCCCCTCTGCCTCCCCAAATCCTCCAGCCTCCTCCAGGAAACTCCTCTGGGCAACCAGGGCTCAGTATCCCCTGGTGACACACTAAGTAACCATGAACAAGCACTTTATAATTGTCCTTCAGAAGAACTGTGTGCTGAGGAACATATTCACCTGCTCCTGTCCCCTAGGGGAGCATTAACTCCTCTTCACCATCAGGGACTTAGAGAAAAGCCTTGGAGCAAAAAAAGCAAAGAGGTACAGTGGACACTTGAGGTAGAAGCCATCGCCACGCACAGGAACCGTCCACTACATAGTCAGAGTCAGAGATAGACTGAGGGCTTGTTACCATGCACCAGTAGGGTCCACTAGAGCGGTCATTAGGGTAAGAGATGGAAAATTATCTCACCCATGTAAAAGCCCCATACATGTGGTGTGGAGGAATGTGCAATGGGAAAAGCAACAATTTTGAGCCATTTGTGTTCCACAACTTTGCAGCTGTGTGACTTTGAGGAAATCAAACAATCTCACAGTCTTTTGTTCCCTGGCCTGTAGCAGGGAGACGGTCATATTTGCCCTACGACCTCATAGAGCTCTCAGGGGAGCAAATGCACTAATGCGTGTGACAGTCATTTCTAACCTGTGATGTGCTGTGTGACCAGGTTTGGAGAGGGGTAGAAATTATAGCAATACTTAACCTTCCTTGCTTCCTTTAAGGTATCTCACAGACAGGGACATCATAAAAAATTCTGGAAGATTTAGAATTTTGTGGAATTTCTAAATGTTTTATCCAATAGAAAATCAATATAATCATAACCCAGAAAAATGAGGAGAACGCAGATGAGAAGGTATAGGAGAAGCACCCCAAGGAGCAGCTTTGACCAGAAACCTCCAGGCCCAGGCCCAGCCTCTTACTTGTAGGCTATATCACACCAGCTGTTGTTGTGGATGTGATGAGTCTGCAGCTCTCGCAGCCTCTGACTACAGATCATCTGGTCGTGACACTCCAGTCGAGGGATGTGGTGTATGACAAGGAAGTCCACTGGCAAGATCAGCTGGGTGCTGCAGCCAACAGCTTCTGCCCCCCACTCTTTGCGAGAGACCATGGTGAAGACAACTATGGGGGAACCACAGGGGCATCATATAGCACGTCATGCCCCATTGCTGCCACGTTAGCCACTTTAGGCTGTGTCTGCTGCACAATGGTGGAAGAGCCCCGGGGGAGCCTGAAGCATGCACACCCTCCCCTTCTCACCTCCATACCCCATTTCACCTACACTCACCTCAACACAGAGCCTGCCCCTGGCCAAAGAAGTCCAGATGCTTTGCTCCCCTATCCCAGGACATTCCCTGGGGCAGATCCCATCTTTCTGCTTCCTCTCTGCTCTGCTCCAGGGCCGACTTCAGGAAGCATATCCAGCTTACCCACTCATACCAGGGGAAGCCCTGGAGAGCCTTCCTTCAGTTCCACTTCAGCACTAACGCCCTCAGTGTGCATTGTGCTCACTAAAGATTTTCTCTGTGACTTGGATTGCATTCTTCATCCTTCCCCGAGAGCTCCCTGAGGGGCCAAATCACCTCTTCAGCCTGATGACTCCCCCGGGCAGCCTATGTCTCCCCCTCAGTCTGAGGGTTTCTTGTGGCAGTGCTGTGTCTCCCCACCCTCTGAATGAGAACTCCCAGAGGGCAGAGTATGGGCTTCCATCCTCAGACTAGGCGGTCTCTGAGTGCAGAGCTGTTTCTCCTTTTCCTGGGTTTGTATTCCCTCCTGGAACAACTCCTCCACCCCAAAGACCTAGGACAATCAGTGCAGATGGTTTGCCAGTGCCCCTTTCAGGGACTTAACCCCATTTGCCCCCATCCCAACCACAATACAGCTATGCAGACCAAACACATTTCTGGTCACATGAGAAACCCCAACTGGTCCCCAAGCCTCCTCACCATTCAGAGCCAGTTTGCCTTTTTTAATGAGATTAGAAACGTTGCCAAACAGATACAGAAGCCTCTCTGATATGTCTTTGTTTGTATTTCATTCCAGGAGGAATCGCTTGCAAAAGAACATTCTGCTCTGCATCAGTCCTCGGAGAACTCCAATACCAGCCATCAAAGAAGCACAAGCTCCATTCCATTGCCCGTCTGCCTCCCCAAGTCCCCAAGCCCTCTCCAGGAAACCTCTCTGGGTTGACTAAAGGGCCGCTTCCAGGAGCAGTAGATGGTGCTATTTTTGTCAACGCCAGCCCCAGGTAATCCCCCAGGATGATTGTTAAATAGCAATTTTATATATATATATAAACAGCCAATTAAATAGTCAGAATGATTATCCTTTTCTTGTGAGCCTCATCTACACATGCAATTGATGCAAAGCAATCTGAAAATGTATCCAGACACTTCAATACCACAAAGCCCTCATTTGGTGAACTCTCTACTTAACGGGGAAGAGGGTTGGAGAAGAGATTCCAATTACCTGCATGAATCAAGTCAGTTCCTCCAGGATTGGTTTTGGGGGCATGTGCTAGCCAGTGCTCCTGTGTGAGGGACTGTGGAGATGGGCACAGTGTGTAGACTAACACCCCTACCACCAAGGGACTTTCTCTTATTTTCAAGCACAAACTCAAGTCCTAGGTTAGATCATGATTGATGTAATAATAATACAAATACAGTCATTGCTGCTACTTATTTGCTCTAACTGTCCAAGTGCTAAGTCCTTCACTTGCACCATCTCATTTAAACCTCACAAACTGTTTATTGCTGTTGTTCACTGCTGTCGAGTCAGCCCCTGACTCATGGTGACATCATGCACAATGGAAGGAAATGCTGCTGGAACCCATGAAATCCCATGATCGGTTCTGAATCAGACCATTATGATCCATAGGGTTTTCATTGGTTGATTTTCTAAAATAGATCACTGGACTGGAGGTACCCCAGAAAGCATGACCACTGGACCCTCTATCAGCCCAGAACTAAAACAATTTCCGAGGCCAACTCTTCAGACAGGGATTGGACTGGACTGTGGGACATAAACTGATACTCGTGAAGAGTGTGCCTCTTAGTCAAGTAGATACAAGAGACCAAAGGGGCTCCTTCTGTCCAGAGGTGAGATGGGAAGACAGAGAGGGTTAGGAGCTTGTTGAATGGTCATGGGGAACCAGGGGTGGAAGGAGAAGTGTGCTGTCGCAGAATGGGGTGAGCAGTTAGGGTCACATAACAATGTATGTATAAAAATTTTGTATGGGAGACTAACTTGAAATGTAAACTTCATTTAACTACAACAATAAAATAAAATAAAATAAAAGTAGATCACCAGGCCTTTCTTCCTATAGGATAAGTTTAGGAAGTCATAAATCTTATCTCAATTTTCTCCAGGTAAGGGAGGGGGATTAAAGTTTAAAGGAACTGAGAGCTTGTTGAAAATCATTGCCAGAGAGAGGCGGGGCAAAGATGGCAGAGTAGTCAGATGCTTCCGGTGGTCCCTCTTACAACGAAGACCAGAAAAAACAAGTGAATCGATTATATATGACAATCTATGAGTCCTGAACATCAAAGGCAAAGTTGAGGAATCAGACTGAGTGACCCGAGGAGGGAGAGATGGTTTGGAAGCATCAAGGAGTTGCCAGACTTGACCTAGAGAGAGCCTGAGCCCTTCGGACCAGATTAGCTCAGGGGTGAGCAGTGAGTCAGGCAAGTAGCGGTGCTCAGGAGGTGTCTTCCATACTGAGAGAGACCCAGTGGCAGAGAGTCTACTCGACCATCCAGAATGAGTGAGAAGCAGCCCTCAATTGGCAAAAGATAAGTACTTGCACCTGGCCTACCACACAGATCAAAAACACCCCCTTTTGGGAAAAACCTCTCTCCAATTCACCTTCCTGCTTCCTGCTCTGCACTGGGTCCGGGACTGGCTTCAGCAATTGTCGAGTCCCCTGGGCCGGAAGTAGGACCTGTCAAGTGCCCTGAGCCAGTCTCCCAGCCTTGAAGAGCAAACAAACTAACAAACAGAAGGAAAAAATAATCTGCTGGCTCCTCTAAGCCAGAAATTAAGGTAGGCACAACTCCTTTGCCTAGGCAAAGGAATAAGGGATCCATGGACTTTGGGTGCCTTTCCCCCTGCAGAGACTTGCGTGGGCCCATTTCAACAGCGTAGGCCCTCTTTGCCACAGTACAACAAGGTATATACCTGAAGTCTAACTTCAACTGTTTCAGCTGTGAAGTGGCAGGTTTGTGACATTTGACATTGCTCTTCCAATTAAGCAGGTCTTCACCTACACACATGAGGGACCTGAGGACTGGTGGCTCCACCCACGCCACCTAGCCACCTGTGACAAGGGCCCAAGAATAAATGGTACCCCCCAGTTCTTACAGCCAGCAGCATTGGATGCTTATAGTCCAGCTGTAAAACCCACCCACCTATGCACTCTAGGGAACAGGGACACGCTTTCCTCCTGGACACTGAGGGGCAGCCTTCAGCCCCCTGCCTTGCTTAGTGTGTGACCCCCTGTTGCAGCCGATGCCTGTGCCTACACCAATCACCCATGCCTGTCTAGGACTGTAAATGAGAGCCTGCACCACACACTTGGTGGTCAGCTACCTGTACACCTGAGCTGAATCCATACAGGAGGAGGGGGTGGACTTCTGGGCTCACATACTTAGTGGCAGGTCTGGCCACCTGGTGGGAGGACGTTGGAGCTTCAGGGGTGCTGGTGATCGGGATAGCTCACACAAGCAGCCTATTTGTGCATAGCAAAACAAGAAGCTAGGACACAGTAAGCGAACATAAAATAAATAAATATAATAACTTATTGATAGCTCAGAGACAACAGTCAATATCAAATCATATAAAGAGGCAGACCATGATGGCTTCAGCAAGCTCCCAAAATAAAGAATCAAGAAATTTTCTGGAGGAAGAGAATTTCTTGGAATTACCAGAGGCAGAATACAAAACATTAATATACAGAACTCTTCAAGAGATCAGGAAGGAAATGAAGTAAAACACAGGCCAAACAATACAGGAACTTAAGAAAATTAGAGAAGAGCATAATAACAAATTTAACAGGCTGCAAAATCTACAGGGAGACAGCAATCAGAAATCCAGAAGATTAACAATAAAATTTCAGAATTAAAGACAACTCAGTAGAAAGTCATAAGAGCAGAATTGAGGCAATGGAAGTCAGAATCAGTGAGATCGAAGATAAAGCACTTGACACAAACTTATTTGAGGAAAAATCAGATAAAAGGATTTTTAAAAATGAAGAAAGCCTAAAAAATATATGGGACCCTATCAAGAGGAATAACTTACAGGTGACTAAAGTACCAGAACAGGGGGAAACAGAAAATACAGAGAGGATTGTTGAAGATTTGTTGGCAAAAAACTTCCCTGATATCATGAAAGATGACAAGATATCTATCCAACAGGCTCATCGAACCCCACATAAGGTAGATCCCAAAAGAAAGTCACACAGACATGTTATAATCAAACTTGCCAAAACCGAAGATAAAGAGAGAATTTTAAGAGTGGCTAGGGACAAACGAAAAGTCATCTACAAAGGAGAGTCAATAAGAATAAGCTCAGACTACTCAGCAGAAACCGTGAAGGAAAGAAGGCAAAGGGATGACATATATAAAGCCTTGAAGGAAAAAAAAATTGCCAGCCAAGAATTATATATCCAGCAAAACGTCTCTAAAATATGGTGGCAAAATTAGGGCCTTTCCAGATAAACAGAAGTTTAGGGAATTTGCAAAAACCAAATCAAAATTACAAGAAATACTAAAGGGAGTTCTCCAGTTATAAAATCAACAACATCAGGTAACAACCCCAGACTAGAACACAGGATGGAGCAACCAGATATCAATCGAGATAGAGAAGTCACAAAAATAAATCAAAGCTAAAACACTGAAAATAAGGAAACAGAGATGTCAATATGTAAAAAGTGGCAACATTAAAACAAAAAAGAGGGACTACAAAATGTAGACATAAATTTTTCACATGGAAAGGAAGTCAAGGTGATATAAAGAAATAAAAGACTGGTTTAAACTTAGAAAAATAGGGGAAAATATTAAGGTAACCAAAAAGGAAACTAACAATCTTACAAGTCAAAATAAAAAACAACAAAAATATAAAGACTCACCAAATACAAAATCAACAACAATGAAAACGATGAAAAGAAAATACATAAAGAAAAAGGTCTGGTCACAGAACATTAAGTGGAAAAAGAAACTGTGAACAACACACAAAAAAAGATATCAAGATGACAGCACTAAACTCATACCTATTAATAATTACACTTAATGTAAATGGACTAAATGCAACAATAAAGAGACAGAGAGTGGCAGAATGGATATGTGCTGCCTACAAAGGACACACCTTAGACTTAAAGACACAAACAAACTAAAACTCAAAGGATGGAAAAAAATATATCAAGCAAACAACACTCAAAAAAGAGCAGGAGTGGTGATATTAATC